GTTAGCAATCTGTTCCTGCTCCCACTTATACTGTTTCATCTGGTTCTCCTCCAGTTCCGAACGGGTCTGAACATACTGATCATAGTTTCCAGTGTACATCTTCAGTTTCTTGTTCTGCATGTGAATGATGTTTGTGCAGACACCGTTCAAAAAATCCTGGGAGTGTGAAATAACAACCAGGATGCGCTCAAAATTCTTCAACATCTCCTCCAACCACACACAAGCTTCTAGATCTGTTAACAAGGGAAGACAACTTAACCATGAGCGACTGAAGTTATAAAATATGTATCTTCACATACACAAAAGACGAACACAATAACATATTAAGGGAGTCAAACAGCTGCACAGACACTGAATAGCAATACAGTGAACTAAGTTCTCCAAACTAATACCGATCAGAAGTAAACCTAAACAAGAGGAAAAATGTTGGGGGTGGTGGTGAGTCAGAATTTCATTACGCAAAGTTGTACTATTTGGAAAAATGTATCCAATCTCTCTTTACTTATTCTTGATAACTCGGAAAACTAAAATGAATAGTCCCAAAAATTCTAGACAAATCTGTATTAACAAGACAATGGAAAGGAGATGGGCCACAGATAACTCCCTTTGCCAGCTCAGGAATGACATAACACTCGTTAAAATTACCATTCAATACCCCCAATTAACCTAAACTTAAAGAAAAACAGTTAGCAAAAAGGGATATGTTTCTAATATCAGATTCCTGCCATGACTTTCAGCCTCTATGTACAATCCGAACCACTGATAAGTGGGCCAATAAAACCCATCTTGGAAACTGGCTATACATTTTATTACTAGATAAAAAACATGGAACCCACTACACCACCAAACATGGTGCTACAACGAAACTCTAGTTGTAAGAGAACTATCCTGCTCATATAATGAGCAAAAAAATAGAACCTAAAAGGTTAGGACTATAAAGTGGTAGGTAACGTGATTTCACAGGCCATACAACAGACGATCTAGAACATAAAAAACAACTCAAATCTCAAAACCAGAAAACTAAAGCCAGCACGACCATGGCCAAGTATTCTCTCTTTTAGGTCTCTCCTTTCCTTCTCCATCTTGCTTTCTCACAAAACACTATAAAGAATCTTTACACGATGGCATGCAAAGTTAAAACAATTTAAAAAGAAAAGAAATATAACCCATAAACAAAGACTCTATTTCTCTTATCGACTTCTACACGTTAAAGCCCAAAGCTTTTCTCATTTTCATTCATGCAAATCAATTTATTCAGTAGAATAAAAATAGAACGACACACATATTAAGAAGAAAAATCTAACACAAAAACTAAAATTTCTAACCAGTTAAACTTACCAAGATGATTGGTGGGCTCATCCAGTAACAGGATGGTTGGGTTTATAAAGAGAGCACGTGCAAGTGCAATCCTCATTCTCCACCCACCAGAAAAATCCCGAGTTTTCTTTGCTTGCATCTTCTTGTCAAACCCAAGACCATAAAGAATTTCAGCAGCACGCTTCTCAGCAGTTGCTGCATCCAATGCTTCAAGGCGCTCATAAATGCGCTCAAGCTGCTCTCCACCGCCATCATCCTGAAAATAAGTAACATAAGTCATAAGAACTGTGAGGTAGAAAGCTGCCTAAAACAAAGCACCCATTGAAATTCCACTATTGGGTCCTATATTATTCACATTACTTAACAACTAACCAAACTCTGATTTTTGTACTACCCTATTCTTTTAATAATTAATACCAAAGTACTCCAAAATCTAACTCTTATATTACTACAGCTTACCTGAGCTGCCAGTTCTTCAACTTCTTTCTCCAACCTCATCCTCTCCTCATCGCAGCTAATGACAGCCTCAAGTGAAGACATGTCTGAGGCTTCAATCTCGCTACTGAGATGATAGATATCCATGTGATCCGGAATTGGAAGCTCTCGGAGCCCTATTGCAGTTAGGAGGGTGGATTTACCACACCCATTCAACCCAAGCAAACCATAGCGTCTGAAAAGGAGCATGAATACACAAATTTAGCATATCTATATGAATAACAAATACTCCATTCATTAAAAAATAAAAATAAAAATATACACACACACACACACACATACTTGAATTAAACATGTATAACTAACCTTCCATAATTAAGCTCCAGTTCAGAATCGACTATCAGATCATGTCCATGGAAGGTAACTGACAGAGACTCAATCTGCAATGGTCACAGAAATGTCATTTCACGCTATCATCAACCATTCCAGTTAGGAAAACAACTGAAACCGATGTTTAAAAAATAGAGCGCGAATGATATTCATTAATTAAAATACCTAAAAGGTTTTCAAAACATGACACCATGCTAAAACCAACCATATAACAACGAAACTCGATTACAACTTAAAAAAAACTAGGAAATCAAATATTCTAACTTGTAAACACAGTACCAATTACAGAACCTCGTCGTATAGTGACGAATATAAAATTAAACAGATAAATATATCACTAAAACCTTAAAGAAATAAACTTTAATAAATAAAATTACAACGCAAATAAAAGAAAAACACTACATCTAATTCTTCTTGCTCTATCACAGTTCTCCTGCAATATTCAACCATATTCGCAGCTTATAAAAACTAATCAATTTCTCCCATGGACCTATTGCATTTTCTCCTACCACATTCAACGATAATCGCATCTTACATTACCTTTCTGCATTAAAAAAATTAAGTATATAAATATATAAACTTAAATGGAACATCGAACACCTATTCACCTGAGTAAAAACAATTCACATAAATAATCTAAATTTCTGAAAAGGAAGGAAAAATTCCTGAAGATGCCCTGTTATTTTTGTTAAATATGATATTAAATATACTATGTCAAAGACCATATATACTAATAAGATGGAAGAGATGAAGACGACATCGTATTGAAACACATACGCGAATATCTCTAGAAAGTGGATGCGAGCAAAGCACGCCGGTGCAGTTCCGATCCGAAATATGCATCGCCCCGACTCCATTGGCAAGCTTATCAGCACCGTTCTCGGCCGCAGGCGACTTGGACGAAGCAGCTGCCGCCGCCGCCTTCCCACCTCTCTTGGCCGCCGCCGCCGCCTTCTTCTGGGCCGCCTTCTTCTTGCTCGCGTCCGACACCATCGTTTTCAAAGATCAACCTGCACATCGCACAATCATCATCAAAATCAAAACTTGCAATCAACCAAACACAGAGACATGTGCGTATATATATTATATGAAATGGGGAATTAGGGATTGAGATTTGAGAGGGACCTTGGAGAAGAGAAGACGATCGGGGAAGAAAGGGAGGGCGGTGGGGAGGTCAGATCTGGGATTGTATCTCAGGTGGGGGTGTACAGATATTTTGTGGTATGTTATGTTAGGTAATAGCAGCAAATACCCGCTCGCAAGGGTTGGGGAGGTTTTCTGGAACGGGAGGTGGAGGATTTGAGAATTTATAAAGGAAGGCGGGGTTAGGGTTGAGGTGGCTTCCCACGTGTTCGTCGCTTATAGGCCTTCCACACTATGGGGTTTTTTTCTTTTTTTTTTGGTTGAGTATATTGATATTTTTCTTTTAAGAGGAATGAAAATTTGGCAAAATTATATAATAAGCAATTTAATTTGATATCGAATTCGATATTTATAAAGTTTAAATTTAAAAATTCATGTTTTCAAATAAAAATAAATATCATCAGATCGCAATATTAAGTGACTCACACTATGTAGGTTGGGTAGGCGGGAATGCGGATGGGACTTCCCCTTTGGTGTTCTGATTTTTTGTAGCGGGCTGGACGGTGTCGTTTTGGGTGGAGACCAAAGGGGCTTGGGCTGGTGGGGATGGGCCTATTGGACACATTTCGATTTTAGTCTAATTGAGGTACCAAAACCCAACAAAACTGGCTAGGAAGGGAACGATCCCAAAAGCTCTGCTCTCCTAAGCATCAAAAGACAACAAAAATAAAAACGTTAATTAGTTAAATCTCAACTGTTTATTTATAAAAAATGATGCGTGGTAGAGAACAATGCATGATTTCAATAATGTTAATTATCTCCAATGTGAAATATGGTATCCTAACATTTACAGTTTATTTGATACTGTTTTTGTAAGAAATACGTGTGCTCACAAGTTTATTTGTGATAAGTGCTTGACGTCCAAATTTTGAAGAGAGTTCCAATTTACATATATATATATATATATAAGCATTTGAAAGTGCTTCTTGAATTGCATGTGATTTTCCAAAAAGTAGTTATATGACTCATAAATAATTTTGCGTTTTATGCCTAATATAGTTATAGGTAATTTTTGTAACATCTCACATCGCCTAAGAGAGTGATCCTTAAATGTATATTCACATCCCTACCTAGCACGAGACCTTTTGGGAGCTCACTGGCTTCGGGTTCCGTAGGAACTCCGAAGTTAAGCGAGAAGGAGGCCAGAGCACTCTCAGGATGGATGACCCACTGAGAAGTTGCTCGTGAGTTCCCAAAAACAAAACCGTGAGGGAATGGTAAGCCCAAAACGGATAATATCGTGATACGGTGATGAAGTGGACCCGGAAAGTGATCCGTCCCGGGTCGGGATGTGACAATTTTTGATGTTCAAAACACTCTTAAGTGGTTTTAAAAGTATTCTGAAGCATGCCCATGGGCGATGGTCATCTTCAATATGTGGTTTGATGATGCCATTTGTCACTTCACTCCGACCTCCGTGCTGCAACGGGAGAGAAGGGGGAGAGCGTAAGTGACTAAAAAAGGTGTTTAAAGATTATATCTAAAAGCATGTGTAGGTTAAGTTAGTTGATCAAGGTGATTGTGTGTCCACTCTTTTCACTCTTGTTTAATGCTAAGATTTTTTTTACTCATTTCCTCTTCGTGAATTAGATAGTTTAAAATATCGTTTTTCTAAATTTTAAATTTTAGACTAAGGAGAGTTTGGGCTCCAATTCCAAAGACAATATTTGGGTTTGGGTGTCCATTACTTGTCAAACTTGGACGCAGTAGCCCAGTAACCACCACAGCCCTGCAAGAGCCCGTTACCCACACCAGCCCACCGTTGGCTTTCCTCCTCCTCCTCCTCGTCCTCCTGCTTTCCTGGTTCGGCTCGCACGGTCACACTCACTCCTACGCTTCCACCCGGCCAAGCTTTCATCTTTGTTCCCGACAGGTACATGAGCTGCTCTCTTTCTCCTCTCTCTCTCTGTATTGTCTGTTCATATTTGTTCCTTTAAAGAATGAATAGAAAAGTTTAATCGTGTTTCAAGAATGGATTTATATGATTAATTATTTCATGTTGTGAATTTGCTTTTATTGCCTCCACTTGATAAACAAGTAATAATACAGGATTAGGCAAATAATGGGTTCTTCATACGAAAGGGTTATTTGGGTATTATCAGTCTTTTAATCTTACTTGTCCTTGATTGAAGCTTGCCTATTAAGCCCTCATTTGGTGTTTAGGATTGGAAGGGATTGGATAACTCCGTAAATTCAATCTATGTTCAATGAATTAGCGGATGGCAACCTACTTCTCCCTTCATCCAACATTCATTTGAATTTACCGAGTTATCCAATCCACTCCAGTCCTAAACACCAAATGACGGCCTAAAAGAGCATAAGATGGGTAGTTGTTCTTGCATCTGGTTTATGGTTTATGAGGATTGTGCATGGTATAACCTAAATCGCTCGTTAGTCTGGGTTTGGTGTTCGATTCTTTTTCTCCTTCACTTTGTGAAGAAGGGGAACTCTAAGGTAACTGATAGTGTTGGATTTCCCCTTCTACAATCATCAGCCTGCTAAAAAAACTAGTCTTACAACCACTAAGGACTAACAAAGCAGTGTCTCTGTGATGCTGTTGAGGCGGGGGGAAAAACTAAAGCATGCACAATCCTCTCAAGATTTCGGTCTCTCAGATGTTTTTCTAGGTGGGAGTGTGAGTCAAATTAAATTTGTGTGCCCAAGTGTGACTCAAAATGCTACCGACTTTCTATTAAGATGCATTTGAACTGATAATTTTCGGAACCTGGAAGACAGGCCTACGCGATGTTAGCAGTATGTATTTGAAGGAATTTGTTTGATATTATTTAAAAGCGTAGAAGCATTTAGTCTCTGGTTCTACATGTTTGATAAAGAGTGGGTTGAAGGTGCAACTAGTTTGCTTCAGGTGCGTTGTCAACATGTTGTTAGCTGCTTAAATCAACTGGGTTCGAACTTAACCAGTGGCTGTGGGTGATAATTGAGAGTATCTCTCTACTCCCCTTGAAGAGAATTAACGACCAAAGAGTTTAGTATTTTTCTTTGGTAGATAACTGTTAGTCTTCCAATTCTTTTCCGTGTATCTATAGTTCCATATCTAATATTCTTTTGCTAATGTTGAAATTGCTTTTATTAAACGAAAAACAGCAGGACTGCCCCAGAATGACGGTTGTGAAGCGATATGTGCTACGGCTGTTCATATCATTGAAGTACATTACAGCAAACGTAGTGGACAGAAATAATGGCCGAATTGTTGTGTCAGCATCTACGGTTGAACATTCAATCAAGGGCTCACTCGAATGTGGAAGGTCTTGCAATGCAAAGGCAGCGGCAGTTGTTGGAGAGGTGTTGGCTAGGCGACTCAAGGTGGAAGGTCTTGGCGAGGGACAGGGACGAGGGATTCATGTCAATGTAAATAACGAAGTTGAGAAAAAGGGTTTTAAGAACCGCACCAAGATTTGGGCTATTGTCAATGCTCTTAAGGACAATGGAGTCAAACTCATTCTTGACGGTAGTGATGAAAATACTTCTCAGCCAAGTAAGTAATAAGAATTCGCTTGTTTGCATTCCTTGTGTGTGTCCATATGCTGAATGTTTACATCTAATTGTTAGTGACAGAAAGGAAGGATTTGCGCTGATTGTAGAATCCGCGAATACAGGAGTATGTATCTTTGTTTTGTACAATGAACCACTTTCTTCTTTCGAACTCTTCTACTTCTTATGTTTCCCCTATCGAAGTTGCTAGAGCGGTGGAGAGGTATGCTAAGGAATTCCAAGTTGCCTCCACCAAAGTTATCTCATACCAGACACGGGTATCCCTCGCCATACAAATCAAGTTGAGGGTTTTAAGTCAGATTGATGTCTCTGGTGAGAATCCGGTGTTGGCCGAGAGAGTGTCCTCTGATCGGAACCACGAGTCCCCTCCTCTCCCTGTTCAACTTCAATTCCGAGAGAGTCTCTCTTCGTTCTCCACGGCAGCGCGGGGTGGGAATGTTCGAGATAAAAGTTCGTGGGTCGCCCTGCCATCTGGTATAGTGAAAATTAACTTTGATTGTAGCTGAATGTCGACGTCTAGCAAGGCTGGCATTGGTGCAATTGCCAGAGACACCCATGCAGTTGTGATCGCAGGCAGAACTTCATGTTGTCGTGTCTCCTCCCCTCTTGAAGCTGAAGCTCGAGCAGCGGTTATGGCTGTCTCCCTTGCTATTGAAAATCAGTCTTTTGATATTATTTGCGAGTCTGACTCCCAAGTTCTCATCATTTAATCCGTCCTTGCCTCTCCTCATCGATTGACAGGATTACCAAGCTAGCTAGAGGTCTCCATTCCATTTTATGGAACTGGGTCCCGAGAGAAGTGACGGAGAACCGAGTTGGTGTTATTTTCAATGCGGGAGAGTTGAAAGAAGGAAGTGACATTTAATTAAGAAAAATGATTGGAGAAATAGTAATTTAGGTGTTAAAATATTATTTGCCCATACCCTGAAAACGAATGCTTTGGAATTTTCAAGTTAGCATGTCGGTTTTGGGCCTGTAACATATAAGATTCAAGAAAACGACGAGGCCTACAAGACTCATTGATTTTCAACGAGCCCAGTCGAAGTTTGGGTTAATTATGTCGTTTAACGTGTTTAATTCGGGTTTTAATATTTTAGAATCTTTTTTATATTTTGCTATTTGTTTAATTTATTTCCTATTTGGAGTTGGGGTTTGTTAAAGACTATTTAAACAACATTTAGGGTTGTAAGTTATCATCTTTCATTGAATAAGAATTCAAAAAACAAGTTTCTCTCACAATTGCCGGCATTCTAGAATTCTATCTATCGGTGACCGTTCATGATCCCTAACCTATAACTTCGGCTGTGTCAAGAAGCGAATCAGGCAGGAGATGTGGTTGCTAGTTTCTTTGGTCCATGCTCTATCCAGAGCGGTCTGCCGTGCCCTCCCGCGTTCCGATGATGTGGTTCACATTTCATTCACAGACCCTAGAACAAGTTATTATGCACATACATCTAGGGATGGGCAATGGTTATGCGAGTGGGTAACCGCGGTTAATTTACCCATAACCGTTTATACTCATACCCGCATAACCGTTTACCCGTTGGGTAATTGCCTAAACGGTTATACCCATACCCATAACCGTTTATAAACGGTTAACCATACTCATAACCGCATACCCATTTAACTGTAACCGTTTAATATCCGTTTACCCATTTATCATTTTTAACCCGTTTATCTTTTTTTTTTTTTACCATTACCTTTTTTTCATCCGTTTACATGTTTTTTAACAACTTGAAAATTAAAAAAAAATTATGACATTTTTTTTTTGACAATTAAACACCGTTATAGGTACATTCATCATACATTTCCATATTTTAATTTTTTAAGTCCTTATACCATTCCAATAATTGAAATAATAGTTTACGGACGATATTTTTAACTGTTATCAATGAAGGTAAATATAATATTTGCTAAGTATTATTGGGTTACAAAAATTGTTTAGAAGACATTTTTGTCAAAGCATTTCTGTCAATTTCACGGTTACCCGCAAGGAATTTAAATTAATTTGGCCAATTCCTTGATGATGAGAATCATCATTCCTGTATTAGTGTTATTGAGAGAATGACCGATGAATTCCTTGCTAATTTATTGGGTGCTAAGTATTATTGGATCCAGAACATGGTTTGTGTTAGTTTTACATATATAAAATAAATGGGTAAACGGTTACCCGTTTATAACCGTGGTTAATACCCATAACCGCCTATTTAAATTTCGCGGGTAAACGGTTATACCCATAACCGTTTATTTATCTAAATGGTTACCCATAACCGTAACCGTTTAATTTAAATGGGCGGGTAACCACGGTTACCCATAACCAATGGGTATTTGCCCATCCCTACATACATCCATATACCCTAAATTATGTACGAAGAGCTAGTATATTCTTTAGGCCTACGTTCTGTCTTTAAAATGATGTGATGATCAAGCTTACCTTCGTACTCAAGTTTTCTCGCTTCTTGTTTGATGATAAGAACCCTTTATATTTCAAGTCACTTTTAAAAGATGAATTTTGTAAAATATAACTCAATTAGAAATCGTTAAGTGGTCGATTAACCTTGTTAAAATTTAGGGTTCAAGTGAGGAACACAATTTGTCTGTTTATTAGATAATTGTTGGATGACTAAACGATCTTAGAATTAGTTAATTCTTTACAAAGATGAGATGATCTTCAAAGGATTGTGTAAAAAAATAAAGAAGGTCAAGATTTGAGCACTATTTATGTAATTATAAATGTGGTTAATAAAGTTTGAATAATACTTGGCTACTCAAGGATGAGTAAGAGTTCCTACTCAAAATTGTTCATTGTTGATTCATAGAACTTCATTTTATGATTAGAACAGTTCATAAATCAGTTATTTGACAAGAGTTGCTAGTGCTTCTTCTCAGCTCAGTCAACGTTCACAAGGTTAAATAATAAATAAATTAAAACTAAGGTTATTTAGTCATCGAACTGTATAAAAACAGATGAACGGAATTGGTAAAAACATTACGAAACGTCAATTGTATTTGCTACAATAGATTGACTAAACGACCTTAGTTTTAATTCATTTCTTTTTTGCAAAGATGATCTTTACAAAGTGATTCATAATATGAACGGTTATGATCATAAGTACGAAGCTATGTGATTTGAATACAAAGAACTTTGAGTAGTTACTCATCCTTGAATAGCCAAGTATTGTTCATGAAGTTTTGATGGTGATGAAATGATGAAGGTCATTTTGCTTTTCTTTTTGCATGCATGTGGCTCACTTTAGAGAGTTTCTTTTTGCCCTCAACCCTTCATTGAGCAACGTATGCATGATTCCATTGGTAAACTGAATAGGGATTCCGTGATCGTGATAGTTTATCATACTTCGTACAGTAAAAAATTATTTTAAATTTTAAAATTAAATATAAATAGAACTTAACGAAAATTGACTGCACGATATACGATAAATAGTCACGATTATGAGATCCCTAAGATCCCTAAGAAAATGATCCTCACCAGATTCATAAGAAAATGATCCTCACCAGATTCATAAGAAAATGATCATCGCCGGATCCTTTTCCTTTATCCACAATGCCTTTTCCAATTTGCTCAAACATTTGATTGGTAATTGATCCAACCAATGAAAATTCAACCTGTTTTCAGGTATTCTCAGCAATTAAAAAACAATAAATTATTTGCATCACAATTCTAACCAAAACTTTTATAATGTCCAATCGAATTCACTCAAATTATAAGACATAAGACTCACCTTAAAACATCAGTTAAAAACCCAATAACCAACTGAAAAACTTAACCAAAATTTTGTTTCGCTTTATAAAATTGAATCCTATCTGATGAGTACATTTTCAAATTTTACCAAAAAACATATTAATCGGCAGGATTTCCCAAAAAGTGAAAATTTTGGCTTGGCAAATTAACTCTTCATACGGCAGAAGTATCGTTGTATCCGCCGGATGATAGATTGTTATGAGCCATACTTGGCATTCAGATATTCACTTGCCACGTCTCTAAAAACGATGTTGTAATAAATATACCCAGTGCAATTTATGTATATGTTCTAACATTTGTAGAAATAAGAAGAAGGAGCACTTGCATAGTTGCATGAAGCACTTGCACATATATGAGCTTGTTTGGAAGTACTTTTAAAATGATTGAAAGCGTTTTTGAAGAAAAAGTTTTTAGATTCTAAAAGCACTTGAAGTGCTTCCTGCAACTTGTGGTTTTTGCATGAAGCACTTCAAGTGTTTTTCCAAGTCCAATTACATTTTATCCAAAATGGTCCCTGAAATTGACATAATTTTTCACTTTAGTCTTTGAGATTTGAAATTGATAGAAGTGATCCCTCAATTTGTCCACTATCAATCATTTTGTTCATTCTGTGAAAAATCTCTATTAAATAAGGATAAAATGACAAAAATGCCCTCAACTTTTACCAAATCATTTTGGCACATTGTTTATTAAATTTCGGGTTTTTTTTTGTCAACTTGGTCCTTATTTAACAGAATTTTTCACAAAAAGACCAAAATAATTGATGGTGGACAAACTTAGGGACCACTTCTATGAGAAATTATGCAAATCTCAAAGATCATTTTGGCTGAAAAACCTTTTTACTAATAAATGATTCCAAACATTTTCACCAAAAAGCTTCATCATTTAAAAACACTTTTAAACAAAGCTAAATCTTTCTCCAAACACACCATGAAAGTGAAAGAGACTTCTCTATACCAATTGGTCATCTTTTATTTCATAGACCTTTAACCTTTTGAGTTTGAGTAATGTTCGGGAGATTAAATTTTGAAAACTAAATGACATGAAAGTGAATGATTGGATTATTACTTAAATATTGATAAACATGCTCATATCTTATTGGTGACACGTCATTTAATTTGCAAATTTAATCTACAAATTTAACCTCCCTAACACTTGAATTTTGACACGGCCTACAAAATACTCACTCTCACACATGGGTTTGAGCTCATGCGTGATCGCGTCTAAGAAAGAAGATTCCAATTATCAAAGGGAACCCTTTGGTCACATGTGCATTTGGAAACTGGAATCTCAACACCCCTAAAATAATATAATTAAATTATATACTCGGTATATTTTGAATAATACAAAAAAAAAGGGCACCCCAAAAATAATATAATTAAATTATATACGCGGTATATTTTGAATAATACAAAAAAAAATAAAAATAAAAAAAAATAAAAAAGGCACTACACGTCCATTTCTTTAACTTTATTTTTATTTTTATTTTTTAAATACTAGTATGCATACACATACAAGAAAATATTTTCTCCATGAAGTTGACCACTTGTGAGGTTGTTGCCTAGGTAGATTATTCATATAATTAATTCTCTTATTGTATTTCCTGCAATTATATATTTGGCTCCCTAGCCAATATCACTCTTCGATGTAAAATGATAAATTACATAAATTACTCAAAATCTTGGATCGTTATCAAATTAGTCTCAAATTTATAAAACTTTTAAATCGTATAATACCTCACATATATAAACAACTTTGTTGCTCTAGTCCGTTAACCCATACACAAGGCTTGTCTTGGCATTTCTTGTTGTAGTTTTTATTTTCATTTTTTTCCTGAAAACTAAAAAATCATTTGGTAATTACCTTCAAATTTACTGTTTGGTGTTTTTAAATTCTGGTTTAAGTTTTTCATTTTTTTAAATAAAAATTAAAATAATTACCAGAAAATTTTCAATTTAAAAAATAAAAATTAAGAATTAAAACTGAGATTTTATTTAATACATTGATATTTTTACACTAAGGTTTTTTAGTACATCGATATTTTTACACTAAGGGGAGATGAAGTTCGGTTAAGCCACAATGGGCAGCCTAATTTGGTATCGAATTTTCCATTCACGAGATTCGAACCTAAGACCTCTCACTTCCAAGTGAAAATGAATACCACCAAACCGTAATACTTACTAACAAAATTAAAACTGAGATGATTCTTATAAATGGACTAGGTAATTGGGAATAATAGATAATATGTTAATTCATGAAAGAAAATTTTAAAATTGGTAGCAATCACACTAATGTTGGCAAAATTAATTTTGATGCCAATAGGCGTTTTGTGTTCCTTTTCTCCAGAAATGGATCCTCTCCGAATCTCTGTCTCTTAATTTACCAAATCTGAGGATCTGAGCTATTGAAATTTGATCTAACAACTACAAATAGATGTCCATTTTAAAAATTATAATAATTTTAATGATTTGATTAAATTTTAATGATCTAAATCTTCGAACTTATTAGGTGGAGAGGATCCCTTTCCCTTTTCTCCTAGTTTCCCTTTAGCCCACGTACGCTTTCGCGAAAGTGCGTGTCTCTTTCTCAGAAGCAGACAAAAAGCGAGGGCATCGTTGGCACTTGACATGGGCCATGGCATGGTATGTGGCATGACCATCGATAATGTGGATGCATGATGTAGTATGTAGCATGACATATAACCCATGAATATGAATATTCCAGTCGTCCTTATCAGAATTTTTACAGGGTCGTGACTCATGAGGGACCGCACCCCACATGACCTTGTAATGCAAGCTCGTGTGTCTCCTTAATTTACACTTGCAACAATGATATGAAATATTCTTCGATCATATCCCTACGCTTCGTAACGGTGTCGCTCACCCGCTTAGCTAAGTTTGGTTTTCAGTTTATACTTTTATATACAGTTTGGTTTGAGGGATCTCGTGATGTTATGTGGAATGTCTTTTTTCGAGGCTCATTTTGTAATTGAAGTTATTAACACTAGCTGAGATAGTAATTAGCAAATGTGATTATTAATACTAGCTTAATAATCACATTAACTTGAGTGTCTGAGTATAATTTAATCAAGAATTTCTATTTAATGTAGTATATAATTTCTTTGTTGAATACGAAATTAATATATTTAACCAAGGGGTGAGAAATTTGAGTTAGTTCATAAACATAAAATAGGTTAGTCTTTCATAATATTTGGTATCAAACTTTTCAGCCACAAAGAATCGAAAGCATGTTGAATCCAACAAAAAAAAACGTAGGAAACCGAAAAACAAATTTATTCAATCCTTAATTAAAATAGACATCAAAAGAAAAAAGTTGAGAATTGTTCCTTATACACCCTCGAGTTAATCATTACTTATCAGTTGATCACGGGGTTAATAATTAATTTTGGCTAAAATTTACACAATTTTCTATGAAAACAAATCTTTATCATTGTCCTAGGTATTTGAGAATTCAATCTTTTTCCTTTTGGGTAAGTGCTTGGTGTAGCTTCAACCTTGGATGTACGTTTGAACTTTATAACTTTGAAGGGGGAGGGAAAGAGTGAAAAATAAAGGAAAAAGAAAAAAGGGTGGCTAACTTTCTTTTGGAGCAAAAAGAGGGCATGCTTTGTGGGTAAGTTTGGCTTGTAATCTCTATTAATTAAAGAAATTCTCTTGTCAATTAAAACAGGATGAAAATACTACTTAATCTTTTATCACATACAAAAAAAAATGATGGACAATAATGTAATGTCACAGGTCCAAATTTTACTGTTTTTTATTGAAACATTACCTATAGATAATGTTAAAATACCTCCAATATTAAAAAAAAAACACAAAAAAAAACCTCCCACTCCCTCCACGTTTTCTCTCTCCCTCTCTCCTTCTCATTTTCTAAAGAAATGTGTTCATACATACAAAGTGTGTAAGCAAATGGTAATAGTAATTAACTTAGTCCAAAACAAAATTAATTTGATTTTGTTTTGTATGTTTCTAGACCCCTACCCACTGGATTTAAAGGGTAATTTACAAAGAAAAAAAATTTAATGTACTGAAAACGCGACTCCGTGAATTAAGTGTAATAATAAAATTTGTTGAAAATTTGAAATTTTTCTAACTAATTATGTTATTATACTTAATGTACCGAAATCGTGTGTCTGACAAACTAAAAAACTGCTCATAAACTACCACTACGGACGGACGTACGTACCTCCAAGGAAATGTTGTTTATCCCATGGCTCATGGTGTATGGCTAATGACCTGGTCCTATGCAGCGGTACTATATGGGACACAGCACCGCAGGGGAGGAGGGACTAGGGAGGGTGAAGGGCACTTGCCTCAGACTTTGTTCTCCCGCACAAAAGTCCAGCCAGCTCAGTCGTAGGCAAAGGACGCCTAATGGGACGCATCACATATAGACAAACCCAACAGGATCCTCTCCGGTTCCTTTTAGTAAGGATGCTGAAGATTCGTAAATAGTTTTCGATCATCATATATCATGTGGTCAGTTTTTATCAAGACTGTTTATATTTAATTTTAAATAAAAATATTTAAAATAATTTCTAATTGCACGACATACGATGAACGTATATAATTCACGGATTCCTATAATCCCCACAAAGGGGATCCAGTGAGGATATCGGATTCTAGATAAACACGGCAGTTGGCTATTGATAATTTGCTTGGCTGAAAACTGAGAAAGTAAGGCTTGTTTTAATTCGCTCCCGAGATTCCTTTTTGCAAAATCAGGCTCCTGAATTGACTCTCATGGTCATTCACGATCCCATCAAATAATTTTGTATGTACCATTTCAATGCTCATACATGTTTACGTTAAAAATGCTTTTATTGTAAACACGTTTAACTGTTTGGTAAAAACTTAAACGCTTTTTGGATAGGTTATAAAAAAGAAACTTATATGAAACCTTTAATGAAATGCAATAAGAATTATAAGATGCGAAAACTAATGTGAATAAGTTGATTCAGTTTTCACGATATAACAATATAATATTGAACTAAATTTAATGTAATTGTAATTAGTTTGGTTTGATTTAACTTATTTAAAAGCCAGATATACAATTAAATCCGATATATTTTGTGATACTTGATATTTTCTGAATGTTATCACCTTTTTACTAGTATGTTTGATTTTATACATTGATCTTCTCTACCTTCTACCAAGAACTAAATTCCATAACCATTCTAATTTGACATCAAATTCCTCTGAAAATATTTCGATTTTCAAGAATAAGAAGTTTCCTCCACTAATTATCAATTTACAATATAAACTTTGGTTTGATTTGTTACAGAGAAATCACGAACCAAACCGGTCACTAAATAATTAGTTAGGTTTGATTTGCTTATGCTACTAGTTTAGTGCCAAAAAAAAAGTAAGCTAAACCATAGCATTAACATTTGTTCGTTGCAATTTAAAATCCAAACAGAACCAAATCAAACCTTATCCTAATCATATAACTATTTCTTCTTGGGTCCAATAATAAATACATTCATAAAAATAAATAAAAAAATAAAAAAAGGAATAATTGAGTGGTTACCCTCTCAAATTTCGAATTGGAAATTGATGAACAATTATTGTGCTGTGCAGCCTCCCTCCCACGGTACTGCTCATAGTCACAGACTCACAGTGAATTGTGTCTATGGTATCGACAGCGCCAGTCGCACTTCTGCTTTGGAAATTGGCAAAATTGGACGACATTAATTGGACGCAGGAATGTTGTGACAGTATCGTCGTACGCCCACTGAAACCTACAGCTTCTGCTCCACGGTTACAATTTTGTCTATTGAGACATTGTTTACAGTATTTTATTAAGAAAATAATGAGTGCCCACATACTGTTTAAGCGCTGATTTATTGATGATTCAGCTCAAATAATGACTATACAAATTTCAAATGATTTTACACGTGGCACCGCAATCTCAAGACAAAAAAAAAAAAACTTATGCATGACATTTAATTAATAACTGTTAGTAGTATGAATTTACATAAAAATTCGCATATTATGTGCCAACGAGAACTGTTGGCAGCGAAGATCAAACTTAGATAAGAGGTTAACCACAAACACACTCTTACGTTTAGTTTCGATTCCAAGCACGTAAACATATAACTAAAAATAATTAGAAGGGATGACTTAGGTGCACATGTGGATACATACAAAGAAAGCTGTACACTCTACTCATCTCCTAAAATTATGCTGGGGATGTCGCATATACCAAATTCATTGTTTGTTATAAATAAAAACCCTAACAAATTAAGAATACAAGGCCTTAACAAAGCGATGAATAATGTTAAATCAATGTGTTCACATCTTTGTCCTCCCAACTATAAGTAGAATATTCAACAACCGAACAAACACTACATATTATAATTAGGATTAAGCTAATTTTATATTAAGATTTCGAAATTAAGCATCTTCTAGATCAAGTGGTTGTATATCACTAAACCAAACCGCACACTACCAACATTTTCTTCCCTTTTTTAGTGCTTCGATCTCACGGGATGCAGAGTGGTTTACTGCTAATACCACTTTATTTATAATTAAACTGCACCAGAAAATCCACTTGGACACACACATTGCCCACTCTGTGTGTCAAAAAAAACAAAACAAGCAGCCAAATTCGTTTTTGAGGAGTATTCAATTGTGGCCGTTATCTCAACTTCTAGAATTATTTTTAAAATTACTTGAAATTTTTTAAAAAGTTCAGCATGCTTTTAATAGAAGTGCTTTTATTGAAAATACTTCTAAGCAGAAATGCTTTTTATAAAAATAGTTTCAAACAAGCAAAAACATTTCCAAAGAGAGTTTTCAAAAAAAAAAAAAAAAAAAAAAAACAATATTTCCAAAGAGTGAACACTTGAAATTGTAACCAACATAGTAACATGAGCATCAATAAAGCAGATCACAACCTTAGGTTAATAACAACAAAACAAATCGTAGCGTTCCAAAACTAACATCCGAAGGGAACCCAAAAGTAGCATATTTCTGATTTCTATTAGCCAACCCGGTTCAGAGACGAACCCGACCCACCAAAATTTCTCTCATATCTACCACTGTCTATTCACTTATTTACACTTCCTTTTCTTCTTCATCGTATCAACTTCTGATTAAACTCTAATCGCTTCTTAATACAGCACTTTCTTCACATAATTGAGCAGGCATTAGGGTTCTCATCGCTGAACATCTCTGGCGGATGGCCAATGTACATCGGTGGAGGCGGAATCGGGTTTCCGGGTGCTCCGTATCCAGGCCCGTATGCCATCTCGTATGGAATCTGCTGCCAGTACCCGGTCTGACCCACTGGAAAATCCATCTTGTTTCCCTCAAGCTTCCCACCACCATTTCCTTCCTCCCCCTCCTTTTTCTTCTTATCTCCGCCGCCACCGCCGCCATTGTCGCCCTTCTCCTTCTCTTTCTTCGGCGGGACAATGTCGACCGACCTCTTCAGCTTCTCCTTCAAGCTCTCCGCCAACACCTTCATGTCCATCGAGCCCTTCACTGTCACCAGCTCCTTCTCCTTGTCGACGCTCATGTCGTTGAACCCTGCCGCGTCACCCACGTTAAAAATCCAAACCAAAACATTCACCGTCACAAAGCGGCGGCGTTTAGAAAACAAAGTAGCAGTTAGTGGGGAATGATAATGTCACCTTTAGTCTTGGTGACAATCTTGTGGATCTTCTTGATGCATCCCTGGCAGTGGAGGTTCAGCTTCAGAACCGCCGTCGTCACCGGAGGCTGCCCGCACCCATATACAAACCCATTTAATTAAAAAATTTAATCATTGAAAATATTTAGGCAGGCGCACGTTAACATTAAAATGGAGTAGTGCTCCAGTGCGCAGCACGCACGTACCTCTTTGGGTTTTTTGTCGTCGTTGGATTTCTCCGGCTGCTTTTTCTTGGCGTCGCCGCCGTCGTCTTTGTTGGTGTCCTTTTTGGGCTGGGGGGAGACGAGGTCGACCTTCTTCTTGGTCTTGGCGGCGACCTTGTCCCGGAGCTTGGTGGGGTCCACTTTGCCGACCACCGTCAGCTTGTTCGCCTCGCTCTCTGACTTCACTGTCTCCACGTCTGTAATCAAACGACACCGTTGCAAAAACAATAAAAAAAATAGTTCGAATCTGAACTTTGGACTAACCCTTAAAGCAGGAAACAGAGCATAATCGGAATCAAATTTCTTCGGATATTTTTTTGAAAAAAAATAAAATCTGGATTAAACCAAAAACCCAGAAAGAAGAATCAAAAAAGAGAAATTGGATTTTGACGAGTGAATCTGAAATCTGTGGGAAGTAAAAAATAAAAACCCAGATGCAAAAAACAGTAAATGAACATTGTTGGTTAAAACCCCAGATGCAGAAAGCAGTAGATGAACATTTGTGTGAAAAAATCGGAGGAAAAGCGTGTAAAAAATAAATGGAAATCTGGAATTTGAAGGAAATGTGAGACGTGGGTTTTGAAGGATTTATTATGTACCTCCAAAAGATTTGACGCATTTGACAATCTTAGTAGCGCAGCCCTCACAGTGCATGTCAACCTTGAGGATGACGGTGATGGGGGTTTCCTCCTTCTTCTCACCTCCGTCGCCCTTCTTCTTCTCACCACCTTCGTTGCTGGCCGCGTTGTCGCCGGCATTGTTGTTGCCGCCGCCGTTCTTCTTCTGCATTAATCCAAGAACAAAACACAAACCCATTAATCCAAACACCACAAAACCCAAAAGCATAGAGAGAGAGAGAGAGAGAGAGGAATGGAGTGCGACCTTGGCCATGGTGGGTTGGTTTTTCTCTGAGAAACTAGTCGGTTATTTTTTTTCTCCCTGGTTTTTCAGAATTGATGAGTGGGAGAGAGCAAGCAGACGTAAGTGTGAGAGGGTGGGAAGGGTAGTGGGGATTTAAAGGCAGAGTGAGTTGCGCGTCAGTTGTAGGATGGATGGTATTTGTATGTATGATGTGCATGTATGTATGCATGGATGTCAATGTCATTGAGGCATTTCCACATACATGTCACGTGCGGCAGGCTTGTGGGCATGTGAGTTGGGTTTCGTTTTACGCGTGGCGACCAAGGAATAAAAGTTCCTTGTAATTTTGGTGAAGTTGAGGTGGGTTTTGGAGGTGGGCTGTTAGGGAATGTGTGGAAACAGCCCATAGCCCCGTAGACTTATGGTCTTCTGTAGAGTTTATTTTTATTTTTATTTTTTAACGAACGATATTATTTGTACTAATGAGAATGGGGTGGGTTAAGTTTCATATTGAATTAACATTAATGTAATTCAAATACACCATTGGCGAGAATCAAATATAAAATTTCACACTTACAAAGGAAGAGAAATATTACTAGATCGTAATATCAAGTGGCTGTGAAGTTTTATTTTTGGCTGCCTTTCTCTTGGTCTTAAACATTTGTGGACCATAAAAGTCACTCGAGAGGACTTTTCCAAAAATTTTCCACACCCCCACCTCCCTCCTGCTAAATTCCAATTAGGGTTGTGTTTCACCAATTAATTTCCAAGAATAACCACGTTGTTAAGTAATTTGGTCATCGTGCGACCGTTTTATTAAAAAATTTCATAATTTTATCACGTTCTTCGTAGTTTGGTGCATTCATTTTTACACTGAGCTTTCATGTCCGAATCCTCCTTCTCGTAGTTTAAATGATTTTAATATGAGCTATCTTATAATTTGTAAAAATAAAAATAAAAATAAAAATAATAAATAATAAAAAGGTATGCACAAGTTGTACATTATGTATCATAATTTGGCCAAATTAGAAATGCCAAGAACTATCAATTTTATGAGGGATATGTAAACAAATTTCTCCATGTGAAGGTCTTTGCATTGTTTATTTTATTTTTGGGTAAAAAACTGTTTACTACCCTCATGTTTCGTGGTTTTCAACATTTAGTACATCAAGTTTTTTTCGTCTCAAAGTCATACCTAAAGTGTAAATTTTAGGACAGTCTCATACATCCGTTAGTCAAACTGTTAAATATGCCGTTAATTGTGACGTGGCGCCCATGTGGACAATGACTGTGCGCCATGTGTCAGCCACGTTTTTTTTTTTTTTTTCTTCTTTCTTCTTTCTTCTTTCTTCTTCTTCTTCTTCCTCCAACTGCAACTTTTTTTTCTTCTCCTTCCTCCTTCCTTCCCCCTTCTTCTCCTTCTTCCTTCTTCTTCTTCTCCCTTCTCCTTCTCCTTCCTCCGAATCTGGCGAAGTTTCTTTTTTTTCTTTCTTCCTCCTCCTCTTCCTTCCTTTCTTCCTTCTCCTTCTCCTTCTTCTTCCTCTTCTTCTTCTTCCTCCGAATCTGCCAATTTTTTTTCTTATTCCTCCCCCTCCTCCTTTTCCTTCTTCCTTCTTCCTTTTCTCCTTCTTCCTTCTTCTTCTTCTTCTCGAATCTAGGGAAGATTCGGTTTTTTTTTTTTTTTTTTTTTTGGAAGATGAAGAAGAAGGAAGAAGGAAGAAGGAGAAGAAGGGGAAGGAAGAAGGAGGAAGGAGAAGGAAGAAGGAAGAAGGAGGAAGGAAGAAGAAGAAAAAAAAAAAAAACTTCCCCAGATTCGGGAAGAAGGAGAAGGAGAAGGGAGAAGGAAAGAAGAAGGAAGAAGAAAGAAGGGGAAGGAAGAAAGAGGAAGGAAGAAGGAGAAGGAGGAAGAAAAAAAAAAGTTGCAGTCGGAGGAAGAAGAAGAAGAAGAAGAAAGAAGGAAAAAAAAACATGGCTGACACGTGGCGCCCAATCATTGTCCACATGGGCGCTACGTCACAATTAACGGCAGATTTAACAGTTTGACTAACAGATGTATGAGACTGTCCCAAAATATACACTTTAGGTATGACTCTAAGACGAAAAAAACTTGATGTACTAAATGTTGAAAACCATGAAACATGAGGGTAGTAAACAGTCTTTTACCCTTTATTTTTTTTGTAAAATGATATATTTTAGATTAGATGTTAGATTATAGAGCCGACTTGGTTCCAACTCAGGCCGTGGTGTAAGGGCAACATTTTTCATCACCACTGTGGTAGAGGGCCACTTGCTTTGCATTGTATGTGAATTGGGTGGTGCTATCCACACACCCCTTTTGTACCTCTCTGTTATGTATTGTGATTGCCTTGATCACAAGCAACAAAGTTTTGGGTTGAAATGTAGTGTTTTGGGGTCGTTATGTAATTTGTCTTTCTTTTGGGCTGTTTGTTTAAGAGTTTAGGTTGTGTGTGCCATGTGGCAGTCTTACATTGGAGAGGTTGCTAGTTATATTAAGCTCTCTCTTTCTTGTTGCAATGGACACAGATGAAATCAAATATTAAAAAATATCATTTTACAAAAAATTACTCCATCTTCTTCTTCTCGTCATTCCGTAATTCTTGCTTCCAGTTAAGGTTGAACTAGCGGCCGGAATTGGTATCTAACATTGGTATCAGCCTCCGATCCTGGTTTCCTTTCTATGTATGCCCCATCACACTACCAGAACTCGCTTCATTGCTATGGATGCTCGAATGGTTGAGTTGGAAGCCTTCATGGCTGCCATTCCTTCTTTGATTGACGATTCAATTTCTAACATCCTAGTTACCAAACTCTAGGTGTACTTTGAGCAATTCAGTCACGAACTCCAGTATCGCGATCCTGACGTTGGCCCTTCCAACACTGTGGTGCCTAATCCACCAGATCCACGTATGTTTGGTCCAATTCCACATCCGCAAAGTTCAATTCACGACGACATTGATCCTCCTCTACGACCGTAATGGTCTCATCAGATTGATTTTCCCAGATTCATTGAGGGCGATGATAATCTTGCTTGGATTTTCAAAGTTGAACAATATTTCTCCTTCTATAACACTATGGCTGATCATCGTGTTCTCACTGCTTCTTTTCATTTGGATGGCAAGGTCTTACAATAGTTTCGTTAGCTGGATTGTGTTCGGACTACTCCAAGTTAGGAGGAATTCACTCGCTCCTTCTGCCGAGAGTTTGCGCCTTCCGAATTCAAAGATAGTGCAGAGGCCTTGTTCAAGCTCTGCCAAGTAGGTACTCTCCATGAATACATTACTAAATTTCGTCATTTGGCTACTCGAACGACTAATATTGGCCTGATTCTGCTTAAGAGTTGTTTTTTGGGTGGCCTTAAACGTGAACTCAAATTTGATGTTAAATTGTTGAAACCTGCGAATGTTCATGAAACAATTGCTCTTGCAGTCCAATTAGATACCAAACACTTTAAGTTGAAAGTTTTCCCTCCTAAATCCACACCACCAGTTAAGTCCCAAGCTGTCATTCCCACACATCCCACATACCAGGTGCCTAGAGTTGGAAATTTAGCCATTAAGAAACTCACCCCTGCTGAGATTCAAAAGAAGAGGGAAAATGGGGAGTGTTGGTTTTGTACTGATAAGTGGACTCCGGGACATAAGTGTGGTCTTAAACAATTATTGATGCTTGATGTGGTCAATGATGAATTGCCTAATGATGAATATGTGGGGTTACAACCTAAGCTTCTTTATATGGAGCTTAGTGAATGTGCATTTTATAGGACTAAGGCTAGGCAAACTATTCAAACAATGAAAGTGGATGGTGTTGTTAATGGTCAACCTGTGAAAATCCTTTTGGATTCCGGTAGTACGCACAATTTTATTGATTCTTGACTATTGAAGCAGTGGGGGTAGTAAGTTCATCCCACCAAGGCATTTGAGGTGATGATAGCTGATGGAGGGAAGGTTAAGAGCTCAGGGTGTTGTAAGTTAACCTCTCTCATTATAGAGGGTAAAATTGTGCAATGGATCTCTACACTTTACCTTTAGGGGTTTGTGACATTGTGCTTGGGGTTCAATGGCTTTCTTCCATTAGTCTTATTCTCTGGGATTTCCAGTTGTTGACTATGGAGGTTATTAAAAATAATCAGCAATACAAGTTGCATCATAGCCCTATGACATTGCCAGTTATTCAGGAAGTATCTCTACAACATCTTGACAGGGACATTTATAATTTCAACTTAGCGTTGTTCTTATACTCTATGGAAGGGGAAAAACTTGAAGTTAGTGATCTCACCCAGTCACAACTACAGGAATTACAGAATTTGTTGGGACAATTTGAGTCTATTTTTGTTCTATCATCTAAGCCCTCACTCTCCAGAGTCCATGATCATCATATACTATTGGTTCCAGGAGCAAAACCAATAAATATCAGACCCTATCACTATGGTCCCTTGCAGAAAACAGAAATTGAGAAAGCAATTCAAGAACTTTTAGAAGCTGGGTTTATAAGACCAAGTCATAGTCCATTCTCATTTCCAGTGTTACTAATGAAGAGGAAGAAATATGCATGGAGGATGTGTGTCGATTACAGGGAGCTTAATGCTCTGACCATCAAGGATAAGTACCCAATTCTTCTAATTGATGACTTACTGGATGAACTGTGTTGATACACAAAATCAATGGGGACTTTGGTACAACAGAAAGTGTTAAGTTTGTGACCTTCACTAAATTGCTCCGGTCACTAGTGTGGATAAGTATGTAAATGGATAGACATGGAAGCAAACACAAGATGTACGTGGTTCACCCAGATTGGTTACGTCTACGGAGTAGAGGAGTTCTCATTAATTGTGAAGGGCTTACACAAGTACATTGGTTCAAGCTTTCCTTTAGTGAGTACTAGTGAATGATTTAGTACAAATGACATTAGGAAATATTGTGAGAGAATGATCTCTATTTATAGAATAGGAAACCCTCTAAAGAACGTGAATGGTCCTCTTTATTTTAGAATTGTACACAATACTAAAATTGTACTTGTACCTGAACTAACAAACACCAAAATTTAATCAATTCAATCAAACTCAAATTAATTAACAAAATATTATTTTGTTTGAGAATTTTATTAAACGATATGGGGTGACTGATGCTACATACTGGGTGACTGATGCTGCATAACGGATATTGCATATGACTCATGCTGCATACTGGGTGACTGATGCTGCATATAACTAATGCTGCATACTGGGTGACTGATGCTACATATGAATATCAGACGATATAAGGTGACTGATGCAGCCAGATTTTATGGTTCCTCTTTCCATGGGATTCTCTATTAAGTCTAATCCCTTAATTTGAGAAAGATTGACATCTAGATGACTTGTTGATAGTTGTGTGCTAGCTACTTGCTGCACTCCCTTAATTTAAGGAGTGACAACTTTAGGGTTTACCGGGTTAGTAGGATTTGTCAAGGTAGGGTTGCATGTAACCTTCTACCTCATTATATATCCCCCCTTGTACATTCAATCAATCTATGAAAAATACATGCAAACAAACTTAAAATTTCCACAAATTTACTCTGGTAGTCTACGTGTTGAAAAAATAGTTACACGACAAAGGGAGTAGTTCCATTTTTTTTTTCGAATATTGCGACTAGTATAATATTCTTCATCTACCAAAAACTATTCTTCCTCTTTTTTTCCTTTTGTTCAATTCTTATGTTTTCCCCCTTTTGTTCTTATTTGTTATGGTGTAGCAGGACATGATAGTTTTTTTTTTAGAAGTGGATTTGTGCTATAGTCGAGATGCTGTAGTTTTTATCCTACCTCAGAGAATTAACTATGCAACTAATCAAGAGCTTAAATAGCTGCAATAATTGTGTTCTAACTAAATTAGAAATAAGAAAATTACAATTTAACAAATGATAATGTTCACAGATGGCCATCAACAACATTCCAAAGAGAAAATAGAAAAATAACAACCATTATTCATTGATTTTCAAAAGAGAAAGGAAATTGATAACTGGGTGTCTAAGCTTGGCAAACAAAGACTGATTGATGAAGAAATCCAAAAACAATTAAAGAAATAAGTACCTTGTTGTCGATTGAGAGGCCGAGGGAGGGAGACGAATAAGAGGTGGTACGTGGTCTCCGTCGATGGCAACCGCCAGGTGGCTGGTTGGCGAGGTGGGGTGAGAGAGTAGAACCAAGGGGAGCTGAAAGAGATGGGGTGAGAGAACATAACGAAATATGTTTTTTTTTTTAAGGAAAACGAAATAGGTTATTAGGTTTTACAATTTGGGAGTTTTGACATTATTATTTCAATATTTTTAATTTTTACTTTTAATATTATAAGTGATGAATTGAATATTACGTGGCCTACTCTTTATGTAAGTGATGAATGTAAAAATTTCGTCACATATTAACATTTCGTTTGGCGGTAAAATTTCCCGTCCAATAGTTTGTGACGAATTCAAAATGTTTATGTGACGCAAAATAATTTGGTGTTTGTGAAAATCTTTATGTGACAATTTCTAAAAAAGCCTCACTCATTTTAGCCAAATGTGATGAATTTTTAGGCGCCACAAAAAATACCGTCACCTAATCTATGTTTTCTTGTAGTGATGGTGGTGGTGGACAAACTTTCTAAGTATGCACATTTCATTGCTCTTTCCCATCCATATACTGCAATGAGTGTGGTTCAGGCATTCATTGAGTTTGTCTTTAAATTGCATGGTATGCCAAGTTCTATTGTGAGTGATAGAGATCCTGTGTTTATCAATGCATTTTGGAGGGAGTTTTTTAAGCTACAAGGCTCAAAACTGTGCATGAGTTCAGGTTATCATCCCCAGAGTGATGGACAGATTGAGGTTATGAATAGGTGTTTAGAGACATACTTAAGATGTTTTATTGGAGGGCAACCTAAAAAATGGGTGAATTGGTTGCCATGGGATGAGTGGTGCTTCAATACATCACATCACACTTTTGCAGGTTTTAAACCTTTTGAATTGGTGTATGGTCTCATATAGTTCCATATGAAGTGGGAACTGCAAAAATGGACTATGTGGAACAAAGTCTTCTCAAAAGGGATAGCATGCTTGCTGTTCTCAAGCATAATCAGGAATTGGCACAAAATAGGATGAAAGTTCAGGCTGATAAAAGAAGAACTGAGAGGCATTTCAATGTGGGGATAAAGTATACCTGAAGCTAGTTCCTTATCAGTTGCAAACATTAGCTGCACACAGTTACCATAAACTGCAACCTAGGTTCTATTGTCCTTATGAAGTGTTGGAAAAGATTGGTATGGTGGCTTATAAACTGAAATTACCTGAAGGATCAAAGATACATCCTGTGTTCCATGTAAGTTGCCTCAAGAAGCAATTAGGGGAAAAAGTAGTTTCACATGTGAATCTGCCTGTTGCTGTAGATGATGGTTTGATGCAGAACTTACCGCATGTAATCTTGGCTAGGAGGATGTATAAGAAGTGAAATGCAGTTGGGGTGCAGCTATTGGTGCAATGGAATGGACATGAGGCAGCTGAAGCTTCATGGGAAGATTTTGATGCATTCAAGACCCGATACCCAGATTTTCCAATGTAAACCTTGTGGACCAGGTTATTTTTCAAGGGGGAAGCATTGTTATGTATTGTGATTGCCTTGATCACAAGAAACAAATTTTTGGGTCGAAATGTAGTGTTTTGGGTCGTTATGTAATTTGTCTTTCTTTTGTGTTGTTTGTTTAAGAGTTTAGGCTGTGTGTGCCATGTGGCAGTCTTACATTGGAGAGGTTGCTAGTGCTATTAAGCTATCTTGCTGCAATGGACACAGATGAAATCAAATATTAAAAAAAAAAAATCATTTTACAAAAAATTACTCCATCTTCTTCCTCTCACCATTCCCTGTAATTCTTGCTTCCAGTAAAGGTTGAACTAGCGGCTAGAATTGGTATCTAACACTCTTACACACCCCTCTCAATTTCTGGCCATTATATTAAATGAATTGAAGAAGTTCAAATGATAGAAATTAACAAGAGGTGTGTGTGTGAAGTAAAAATGGATGTGTGGATAACACTGCCCTTTGAATTCACGACGTTTTTCATATGAGGTATGTGTGAAATGTATAACAGTATAAGACCACCCTTGGCCCAAAAATTATGTCAGACTTAGCTAGATCGGCCCAACAAGTAAACATAGCGGATGGATATATGTAAATAAATCCTAGAATCGTCCTGCTCTCGATACCATGCTAAAATATTTGGGAATTTTGCATATTATTCTGCTCCATCATGGAGACAAATATATATATATATATATATGTGTGTATATATATATATATGATTTACAAGAGACTACATCTACATGGTAATTATGTTGACACATCTGAGTCGACGAGCTAGGAGAATTCAGCTTCAAGCAGCTCAACAGAAATCCTTTGTTTTGGCACACCCTTGTGCACATGGGAATCTTTCGTCTACCCTTGACCGCATTGCATATCTCTCTATTTGGGAGATACGTATCCCGCCTCTGTCTGATTGCAAAGGCCAGGTACAATATGGAGTTTTGGGTCCACAGAGACAGCCTAGCAAGCTTGGCCTTGTTTAGTCGACCCTGCGATATACCGAAAGCCATGAAAAGCACATAATAGTCGTTTAATCCAAATGCCAAACGTGAGACTGCGAGAGACTTGTAGTTGGACAACACCCAGCACCTCACTCACCAGTCCACCTCGATGGCCCAGGCAAAAAGGAGGAGGCCACGTGACTGTCCACGTCCACTTGTTTTTTTAAGGTCAGGACGACACGCGGCAGCCTCTGATTACTCAGTACATCAAATCCCACGTGCTTGGGGGCTTGCATCACGTGGCTCTCTTTCCCAGTTAATATAGGACATACATAGGTAAAAGGATTCATGCTACAAGCGAATGAGGATCTTCTCCAAATCCTCACAAATCAAGATTTAGAGAATTCTTTAATTGTGTCTATTTGTCGTAAATTGTGCAGTCAGTTTTCGTCAGATACTATCTATATTCAATTTTAAATATAAAATTTAAAATAATTTTAATCGAACGATATAAAATGAATAAACATAATTAGAAGATCTCCAAAATCCTCACAAAAAGAATCTGAATATCCTTGTTCCAGAAGCTCTGCATCTCTCTCTTTGTCTCTCTCACTATCCATTGTTTTGGATAATACCGAAATAATGGAAGGCATCAAATCGTTACCCCCACCCATAATATCACATAATGTAATCTAATTACACACCTCATAGTTTTTCGATATGTGTCAATATCTGCTTTAATAATTATTTTGATTTTGACAAAAAGCCTGCACGGACGCATACATTTTCTCTCCAGACAATATCTGCTTATAAATCCTCGTATTGCTTGGGGAAGTTTCATTATACCAGATAGAAAATATCGCAGCCTTTGAAAAAGTTTGTAAAAGGGGAGGAGCTAGCACAGCGCAGATGCCAAAATGTTGCTTTTATCTGCATTTGCACCTGCACTTGTGCTCGTTCATGTTTCTTCCTTCCTTGAAAAACCCTAAAGCCAAAGCTTCAGAGAATGGAAAAGGTTTTAGATATATGAGAACAAAAATGACAAGAGGAAAGGAATAAGGGAAGAGAAGGAAAATGGAAATCAGAAGGAAGAGCAGGAACAAGCAAGAGGTGCAGGTGCCAGTGCAGGTGAATGCCATTTTGGTTCATTAAAAACAAACCCGCTAATTTGTCTCTTGATAACATGCATATGTGTGCGCGCGCCAGTGCAGGTGAATACTAATATACTATAATCATTATATCTTGTAAACCCACTAATTTGTCTCTTGATTAATTATACATGATTATAGTATTTTAATAAAAAATCATATTTTTACTTTTTCTTGGTACTATTCACTACACTTTTATTCATCATTTTTCATTAAAACTGAAGTTTTTTTTAACTTTTCGTTAGTTTTTCTAAGATATAATATACATATGCACACTCTTACAAAAAAAAATATATATATATATATACACATATGCATATGTGCTTTAGTTTTGAATATATATATATATATATAAGGATTTTCCATTTCAGCTTGTGTTAGTTGCGGAATTAGGTTTACCAAAACCGAAGAATCATGCCTCAGAGTTGATAAACAGTAGACAGTTTATATTGTCATTTGATTATCTGAAATGGATGAGATTAGTTCAGTTAATGTTTATAAATACAGTTAAATTGCTACTTGATTGGACCATTGCTCCTAAATTTGATACATGAATAAGTATTAGATTTTACAAGAAAAAAGAAGAAAACCAGGAATTTCAAACAGTTCCTTGTGTATGGTTAATTTCCTATCCATTTCAATTATTTTCATATAATTTGTTTCTAATCCATTTCAATTTTCCATCTAGTGTTTCGTAGTTCATTTCAACTAATTAGCCCTACCGTTGTAATCCAATTCTTTCTTTTAGTTTCTTTTCCATCTGAATAGACTGGGGTCCATTATGTATATAAGTGGTTTCATGGTAATTGAGCCAACGATAGTCTTTACAGGTGACCAAATATTCTTACTCAGTGATTTCATGGTATTAGAATGAAAGGCTTTCTATCAGACTATGTTGACCGACATCGTGTGGTGACGAAACCATAAATAAAGTAGTTCATATGTGACAATCAAAATTTTCAGGCTCAATTCTACTAAAAACTCGGCATAATCTTCCCTACAAATACAATAATTCCCAAAATAAACCATGCACGTAAACACAATTAAAACTCAACTTCCCCAAAGGCTCGAAGGGCACACCGGAATGTTCAACCTTTTTATTACATGTCACATAAGTCTATATGACAGAAGTAGTAAAGCAATTGTATACACAATAGTCATTTGATGTGCTTGTGTAACTGTAAGTTTGATAATTTATTAATGAAACTAAAAGGAAAGACAAAGAGTATGATCACCCTACTCCATAGGAGAGATGTATTACTGCCAAGCCCACATGTCGTCACAAGCTGCTGATTTCGTCCTATTAACATACTAACCCCCGTTTTTAGAAAACAACTGTATACTAGTACTTACTACATATATACTTGATCCTTGCTCTTTAACTCTTTGTGAAGTTTATGGAGATTAAGGAGCAATTTGCACTTCTTCTGGTTCAACTGAATTTTCTTCATATTCATAAACTTCTCTTGCTTCCTCTGGAATAAGTACACTGATACTTCTCTTAGTGTTTGTCTTCCAAACTCAACAAGCATTTTCATTGAATACCACATCTCTAGAGATCACAATCTTCTCAGTTTTCAAATTGTAGAGTCTATAACCCCTTTTAACAAGTTCCATAACCCAAGAAAAGACATCTATTACTTGTTTCCTCAAGCTTGGGTCTCTCTTGACTTGGACGTGAGAACAACATAGAGAATGAAACACTTTTAAGTATCTAATACCAGGCTTTTTTTCACTATAGTCCTCAAATGGAGTTTTCTTGTTTAGATCTTTGGTAAGACAACCTGTTTTAGAGGTAGACACCAGTGTTCACAACTTTTTTCTGCAACTTCATGCACTTTGCCATCTCCACCATGGTCATGTTCTTTTTTTTTGCAACTTCATGCCATAGTCAACTGCCTTTCCATACCAATACTTGCACAATTGACTTTCCACACACACATCTGAATGCACTAGCTCTACTGGGAAAAAAAATCTCCATATTGTTTCCCTTGGAAATGCATCTCTGTTGTGTTTTCCAAGTGCTCAGTCATCACAAACTTCCTCAGTCACCTCTATTTCACGAAATCCTAGTACCATTTCATGTTCGTGCAACAACTTCAAACTCCTGACATTCAAATGCCCAAATCTCATGTACCATATCATTGTAGACTGACTCACATTTTTTCAAGGCAATCTGCATTCCAGGCTGCAATTTCAAAGGAAAATTTCTATTTCCTTTCATGGCTAGGTACCTTTGCAACAAGATTAGAGAATGACCTATCATCGTAAATTTTAACTTTGTAGTCTCCAAAAGTTAGAAAATAACCATGCTTCATCATTTGTGCAATATTGTGCAAGTTTTCTTTCAGTCTAGGTACAAGCATCACATCTTCTTATCAGTTTCAACCTTTACATCCACAGGTTGTCATGTTCCCATTTCGACCTTGGTAGTCATGTTTCTATCAATGTCAATCAACAATTTTTCTCTGCATGTCATGTGGTTACTACAATCACCGTCTACATACCAAGCAACCTCAATTATTTTCACAATTGCAGCATTACAAGCATAAAACATGGTTGCAATCTCACTAACATGATTATCATAATTTACATGTTGAACAATCGTCTTTTTATTGTAGTCCTTGGCTATATGACCAAACTTGTCACTGATAAACTATTGAGTGCATAAAGTTATACTTTTATGCCCTCTTTTACTTAGGTTTTTGACTTAAAATCTCTATGCATCACAAGGTATTTTGTTGTTTGTATTGTATTTCAGGATGAAAGTAAGAGCTTGAAGAAATCATCTTATTTTGAATATTTTAAGAGCCTAGAATGGATAGTTTGAAGCCCAACTTGCCCAAGACCAAAACATAGCCCATAAGTGGCCCAAGATCCGCCAAAAAAGGTCATTGTAGAATAGCCAACTTGCGAGCTTTGCCCCGAAGTGCTCAGAGAGAATTAGAAAATGGGTCATATATGGTTGGAAAGCCCTAGAAGTCTTCTTTCTCATGGTCTTTACAACTTGTAATTTGGAGATTTCTACAAGAAATTATGATAGAATAAAGAGGAACTGTTCAGTTACAAAATATGATAAAAGCTAGTTTTCAGTTACTCCTATACTAAAAGCTGATTGTAATGAGCTATAAATGAGAGTCAATTTAAGGATGTAAATGTGTCAGATGTTAGAAAACTCCTAAGCCTTTTAATAGGAGAAAAATACACAGAATATGGAGGAAAAGGAGGAGATATAGAACATCAAAGAGGAGAAGTCGTCCTCCACCTTGAGCCATTTCTAGGTTTTATCTTTCGTAACTTTTTATGTATTTTGTTATGTTTTTAATTTAGGTTATGGATACTTAGGGCTGCTTTGAAGCCCTAAACATGATTGAATTAATGTTATGATGTAATTTTAGTTTATTAATTTCATTTGCAAGTTAGAATCATTTTTCTGTCTTCAATTGTTTCAAGCACTTATTTCCAAGCTTAGCTACCTTGTTTATGTTTGCTTTCTATTGAGAATAATAAGGTTGACTGCCATATCTTCTTTCATTCATTAGCAACATGTGGTTAGGTTAGAACTAATCATGTAAACTAATTCCATGAAAATCTAGGATAAATGCCATGTTATAGGGTTCATGTGATGTTCATTATCTTCTTTGTTCTTAATGAGTTTATAGGTGCTAAATCTGAGTATATGTCATGCTAGGTTGTACTTACAAATATAAGTTTGATTTATATGCCATCCATCTCACATGCAAAGAAAGTGAAGATTCATACAATCTAGTGATATGTGAACATCTTAGTTGTGCATTTGAAATGGATAAGTTAAAACATCATCTCATTGATTCATGAATGTTTATGGGAAGGCCTTAGCTCATTTTAAGTCAGATTTATGTCCTCAAAACGTTTATAACCTATTTCATGTCATAGGTTTGTTTATAACATTTGTTTTTATCAGTCATTGTGGTTCGACACCCTTACTTGTGCCACTATACTATCCTTATATTTGCACTCAAAAGGAACTTCAACATAAACCTAGTCAGCAATCCAAGTCACGGATCCTACTAACTCAGCAAGTCGACTCATCTCCATTTGAAACTCAAACTCCCGCCACTTCAAATTGTTCTAGCCCTTTGAATATCAGTCCAAGCTTATCACAATCTCAGAGATTATAGCATATCTTTATATATTGTAATCTGATATAGGTTTTGTATTTTGAATATTTGTATGGATAACAAATCTGTAACAACCTCTTGTATTGAAACTCTATATAAATGAAGTGAAAGCTTCACTCAAATTAATTGAGTTGAGCTTATGCAATCTGATTCTTAAACCTATACTTTCGATTCTTTCATGGTATCCAAGAGCTAATGTCAAACGACAACCTTAATTTTTTTTCTTTCCTCCATCACTCATATGGCCTCCCAATCCTAATCTCACATTCCCATTCTTCCCAATGTCTCTAATTTTTTGACGATCAAATTAGATCGTCCTAACTATCCTCTCTGGCAAGCTCAGATGCTACCCTTGCTTCGAAGTAGGAATCTTGTTTCCTTTGTCGACAAAACAAGTAAGTGCCCACCTGCATTTTTAAAGGATGCAGATGGTAATCTCACCGATACTATCAATTCTAAGTATAATGCATGGATCTAGTATGATGCTATGGTGATGTCATGGATCAACTCTTCTAATCATCCCACAGTGTTAGTTTCCTTGATTGGGAAGACCAGTTCCCACTCTTCCTGGATTACACTCCGTGATCGTTATGTTTCCCAATCCACTGGACATTTCATTCAACTTTGTAGTGAGTTAATGAATACTCACCGAGGTGGTTCTACTATTTCAGAATTTCTGGATAAAATCAACTGTTTGGTTAATACTTTATTTCTCTCTGGTGCTCCGGTCTCCGAATCAAATTTTGTCGCTATTATTCTTAACAATGTTGGTCCAGCCTACAAGAATACTATTGCCTCTACTCAGTCACGTGATGAAGCAATCTTCTATAATGTTCTTGAAGCCCTACTCTTGGGGGCTGAACATCGGCAAAAGTTACATTGCTCATTTGGTGCTAACATTGGCCCCACAACCCTTGTTGCGACACGAGGGGGTCGTGGATGTGGTCGTCGAGGTCCCTATCATGGAGGTCGTGGTCCTCAACCTCCTATGCGCAACCAATATTGCCCAGCCAATCCCAACCATCATCCTAGAGGTCACTTCCGTGTGGTTAATGATGGCGTTCTAGGTGCACCTCCATCTCAAGGTAGCCCTCATCTTCGTATACACTATCAATTGTTTGAATATGGCTTATGAGGGCCATGTACCAACCCTTAAACTTCAAGTTTGTGCAGCCATTGCATCATTTTTTTCTACTACAGCCCCTCAACTGGAAAACTAGTTGTTTGATTTAGGTGCCAATGCACACGTCACTAATGATCATGATCAAGTTACCAATCCTTTTCCTTATAATGGTGCTGATCAGGTTAACAGTGTCGTGGGTGGAACAGGTTTGGATATTACACATATTGGTAATTCTTGCATTCACACACCACACCATGAATTCACCCTTCCAAATACTTTACTTTGCCCTAATGCTTCTACCAATGTCATTTCCATTCATTGATAATAACTTTTCACTCACTCTTTACCCTAATTCCTATCGTGTTCATGACCTACAAACGGGGAAGACCATTTTCCAAGGGCGGAGTAGGAATGGATTCTACCTTTTTTCGAGTCCCTCATCAAATAATACTGGCGTTCATGCTTTTGTTGGAACCAGAATGACTAATACCAATTGGCACTCTAGGCTAGGTCATCCATCGTCTCATGTTTTAAAGTTTTTAGTTAATAAGAATAAATTACCAATTAGTGGTACTGTAACTAATAAATTTTTCCATTCATGTCCCATGGGAAAAAGCCATAAGTTACCTTTCAATTTGTCATCGTCTGTTTCTTCTTTTTCGTTGGAACTCATTCACTCGGATGTGTGGACTTCTCCCACATATTCAATGAATGGATTTAAATGTTATGTTGTATTTATTGATGATTACTCACGTTATTCATGGTTATTTCCTTTAAAATTGAAGTTTGATGTCTTTGCTAAATTTTTGGATTTTAAAAAACTTGTTGAAAACATGTTTAGCACAACCATCAAATCATTTCAATTCGATGGGGGAAGTGAATTTGTTAACAATAATTTTAAACAATTTTTTGCTCACCATGGAATTAATCATAAGCTCACTTGTCCTTATCACCCTGAACAAAATGGAATTTCTGAAAGAAAGCATTGTCATATAGTTAAAACAGGATTAACTCTCCTTGCTCACGCCTTTATACCAACGTCCTAATGGACGAGGCTTTTCACACAGCCAACTATTTGATTAACGGATTACCCACCAAAGTTTTAGGTGATGAGAGTCCTTTTCAAAAACTATTTTTCAAACCTCCTCAATATGATTTTTTTAAAGGTTTTTGGTTGTGCCTGCTTCCCATATCTTCGTATTTATAACACAAACAAGCTTCAATTTTGATCCAAAAAATGTGTTTTCATAGGATATTCTTTAAACCAACAAGGGTATCATTGTCTAGATATGTCTACAGGTCGTATTTTCCATTCACGCCATGTACTATTTGATGAGAAATGTATGCCATTTAAAGAATCCATTCCTGCTCCACCTATGACTCTTCCCGAGCCATCTTATATCTAGAACATTGACCCATTGCCTCCTTATCACCCATCGTACCAGCCGCAGTCTCCTAATCCCACACAAACTTCCCATACCTTACCCGTCTTATCCTCACCACCATTATCCCCTTGCCTATCAACACCCTCTATAACCCTATCTTCCACTAACCTCACGCCCCAAGAGCCTATATCTCAGCCAACTCATCCCTCATCTCGTCCCATAGCGCCTGCCACTCTAGAATCTTCACTATGCATGCAAGTTTATCCTCGGATTCTTCCTTTTCTGACCCTACCACTTATGGTCATCGTATGATAACTCGAGCAATGGACAACATACGGAAACCAAACCCTAAGTATGCATTTCGAACTATTTTGTCTCATGATATTGTTGAGCCTACTTGTTTTCTCAGGCAAAACAATTCCAAGAATGGAGGGTAGTTGTGGCAGATGAATTCAATGCATTACAACGCACTGGAACATGGACCTTAGTTTCCTATCATCATTCAATGAATATACTGCAAAATAAATGAGTGTATAAAATTAAACAAAAGTCTGATGGTTCCATTGAGAGATTTAAAGCTCGCCTTGGTGTAAATGGTTTTCATCAGCAAGAAGGACTTGATTATAGCTAGACATTTAGTCATGTCGTGACTCATCCAACCATTCACATCATCTTGCTCATTACTCTTCATTTCCAGTGGCTAATCCGACAACTGGACGTACAAAATGCCTTTCTTCATGGCACATTAGTTGAGGAAGTTTATATGCGTCAGCCTGTAAGTTTTGTTGATCCTCAGTTTCCTTTGCATGTTTGTCGATTACGTAAATCACTTTATGGGTTAAAACAGGCACCCCGTGCCTGGTTCCAGTGTTTCTCCCATCATCTTGAAGCCTTAGGATTCATTGCTTATGTTGTTGACTCATCTCTTTTTACCTACTTCAATGGTAAAACTGTGGTTTATTTATTAATCTATGTTGACGACATTCTCATCACAGGCAACAATGGCTTATAGATTTCATCTCTCATTACTCAACTCGGCAACATGTTCTCCATGAAGGATTTGGGACCTTTAAATTATTTTCTCGGCATGGAAATCAAGCGTACTCATGAGGCCATGTATTTGTCTCAATCCAAGTACATTCTCGATCTTCTTAAGAAAACCAACATGGCTAATGCAAAGCTACTGACCACATCTGCAGCTCGGGGACGCAAACTCAGTTTACATGAGGGTAAACCTCTCTCGGATGGTACAAATTTTCAAAGTGTGGTCGACGCTCTTTAATACCTCCTGTTCACCCGTCCCGACATCGCATTTGCAGTTAATCAGGTTTGCCAGTACATGCACTTTTCTACTACAGTTCATTAGGCAGCAGTCAACCTTATACTTTGTTATTTACAATGAACTCATGATCACAGTCTTGTTTACAAGCCTAGTTCCTTAGCTTTAACAGCTTTTGTCGATGTTGGTGATCTAGATGATCGTCGTTCTACCGGTGGATATTGCATTTTTCTAGGTGCCAATCTCATCTCCTGAAGTTCTAAGGAGCAGCGAAGTGTCTCTCGATCCAGTACTGAGGCCGAATATCGTCAAATGGCTTATACCTCAGCGACATTGTCATGGATTCGACATCTCTTCCGTGATCTTCACCTTCCGGTCGCTCTTCCACATTTATAGTGTGATAACATTAGTGCCTTGGCTGTTGCCTCTAATCTCGTCTATCAAGCACATATGCATCACATTGAGGTTGATTATCCTTACA